ACGGATCGGGAAAATAATAAAATAAAACAAGAATGTAAACACATTTAAATACGTGTTTTTGCAAACATATACTATGGGTCCTTGCACACCGTATGCCTTATTCAGAAGTAGTTACATCGCGAATACGCTAACACCTAATTATCTGAATTATGCGTACACGACGCGACGGAATGATGGAGCACACTTGGCTGTTTTTCAAACATCGCGCTTAACCGATCAATAGATATTATTATTCTAATATACGTTTACCTCATTGTCATGTAGGTCGATGATTGCATTTCTATACATGGACTTTGTATCGCATACAAAAGATAAAACGTACAAGAGACAGTATAGCACTCTGCGTTTTTTACTTTTTAATATCTCGTTAACTCAAGTTCTGTTTAATATTGTTATTTCAATAAATTTACTAACTCATAAAAATGATGATCCTGATGGAGGCATGAGCAAGATCTGTGTTAATATGAACGAAATCATAAATACGATTCACTAACAATAGCTATTGAATATTGCTAGCTTCATTAAGGCGATACACGCCGACGCAAGATATAATGACATAAGTCATTACTGTACCTACTCGCGAAGGAAATCTCAGTTACACATAGTAATAAAAAAATCACTATACTATAAATACTTGCACGTATCACACAATTAGCATTGTATAAGTTATAACATCAGAATGTACGTAGTAGAATGACTCAGGAAACAGAGGACCCCGAAACAGAGTTTAAAAATAATTGAACGAAATGCTAATATAAATGATTTAGATATTATAAAGACTGTACATTATGAACAAGTGAAGAAAGAAGAATAGAAAAGAGAGGATGATGTGGGAGTCAATTAGCATACGCCGCGAACACCGATGGCGGGGAAGCGCGAAACGTCAATACGTGGCGTTTGTCTCGGGCTCGCGAGCTTGTCAGATTTGTATGCAAATTGCTAGACGTGAAATGAATATACCGTGGTTTAAAGGATTTCATTTTGAGCGTTTACGAGTCGCTAACGTACGTAGCGTCGACAAGCGAAGCAGCGTTTGCTTGAAGCGCGGGGCGGACGTACAGCCACCGAGACCGAGGAGAACGTTGAGCGTAACTCAACGGCGATCGTTGAAGAGCACACGAGAAACAAGCGAAGAAGATTTACGACAAGGGAAATATATACCTTCCCGGCCGGCGCTGTCTGCCGGCACAGGAGAATTCCGTCGCAGAAGAATGAATAAGAGGGATGCAGACCGACTGTAGCGTTGCAGGGGTTGCAAACTTGCTCTCCTTTGTGACGTAGCGCGTAAAGGATTTAACCCTCCGATTCTACCCGGCGAAATTCACCAGACTACGACGACGACGACGACGACGCTTCTTCTCGCCGACTTTTAACCGACGCGACGCGGAATCGCGGGTGTCGCAAGTTCTTCTTCTTTATTTGTAATATATCTTGCCATTTTACTGGGAGAATATCATTCTTTTAAATTCTTAGGAATAAATGACTCACGAACACGTATTGTTCTTTTAACTAGTTTCTTCACGATGAAAGAGTAAACACATGCATGTACATGATTGTCTTCCAATGTGAATGTGTATTCCTCTTTTCTTTTTATTAAGGTGCTAAATATACGTGCATCATTGCCTTCAATCATTAATCATTTCCGCTATTCCAAGAAGCAATGTGCATGTATTCCATGCGCAATTTTAATCTTAATTGCAATCGACGAAACTTTTCGCAGTTATTCATTTTCACTCATGAAATTCACTCGAGGCGTCGAAAAACTTCAGATTTCTAAATTCAATTATTCGAATCGAACCGTTTTTATCCACGGGACAAGCAGATAGAAAGTGTCGACAATGTATTCGGATGATTTCACCGGCGTGTTGTGTTTCCCTCGCTTCTCCCCGTCTTCTACACGGATCAGAAAATCCGTGTGACCACTCGTCGGCGGATCTCGCAGTTTTCAGCATCCGCGCGCGCGAAAAATTGCCGGCGAGTTTCTAACGTCGACTCCGGCGAGCCATTTTCAAGCCTCTTCGCGACCGGAATGACTTGAGACTCATTACCATGCCGCGTACCCACGGTTTTGTGTCGTGTAACTCTGGGACCAACTCCTCTAGAACGCTCGCGGGCGCGTGAAATACGCGCGGGAGCCCAGGCAGTGCGTGTGCGAAACTGAGGCGGCCGAAGACGCGATGGCTAAAGAAAAACAGAGGAGGGAAAGAAAAATCGCAAACGAAATGGTATTACATTACTTCTTTCTAGCTTAAAGCGTGCCACTAGCAGGTTTAATACAACGCAGTCACTCCTTGTAATTAAAATAGTGCTACTGATGGTGAAAGCCTAAGAAAGTGAGAGATGCTTGAACAAACGTCAAATATGACACATATCAACAATTGTCGACCTAATTACTTCAGAGTACTTGTGTATTGTTTAAACCATATTGTTCTCTTTAATTAAAGTGTTTTATTCAACCGTTTCTAATTTGTTATGGTACATTAAGGTGTTCAGAGGAACACTTTTTGGAGTAAAGTAAGAATATCTTCATAGAACTTTTGACTAATTGAGAAGCGAGGAAGTGTGTATGAGGAAAGATGTGGAACTTTGACGCTTCTATACCGTTTCTGATTCACCTCGATGTTTCATTCACGACTGGAGTGACTCAAGTGTAACGATCCATCGTCCATCAAGAGAATACATTTTCACCAATTAAAAGGAGGAAAGAAAAGAAGTAAAGGTGACAGAGCGGAGAGGCACGGAGCCACAGGAGGTGCCCGATCCGTTCTGGTGGCTTTCGTTCAAACATTCGCGAGACGTGGGTTCAGGTTCCAGGAACGCGGAGGCCTCGGGACTTTCTTGCCCTCTCCTCTCCTGGTATCTGGCTGCCGGACGTTTTACGACGCTTGCCGCACGGCCATAAATCGTGCAACGCGGACCGATTTATACATCGATATCGGTGCACTTAAGTATACAAATGTGCCCTTAATTGGACTGTCTCCTCCCGTGCGTACTATAAAAGCGGTACTTCACTCGCCACCCAAATCACTGCTGACAGCAGCTCCTTTTAAGTTGGAAATATGGCCACTAAAGGTGGCCACCGTTCTCCGTGCCAAGGAAAAAAATCATTGCGATTCGCAGGGAGTAAGACGTGGTTGTTTAAAAATGTGTTCATTTATGCCACATCGTCTCCTTTATGTCAACGTGATAATTTCCATCCAAAGCAAGAATACATAAACGCACAAATGTAAAATATTCTGTTAGTAATCAATATTAAATCATAAAAATTTGAGACTACTTCATAACGATTGATAGAATGGAGAGGAAACTACTCCACAAGAATTAATAAAAGATCTTGAGAAAACAACAGAATAACAATTTATATAGGTGATTCGAAAATAGAAGACAGTTCCGAGAATTATGCACAACCGGGATTAGATAAATTAATTATTACGTCTTGTTATATTAATAGCCAGTTGCAAGGATATCAAGAATTAAGTTTCTGCTCGCGATCAAGACGTGTAATTAGCAACACTGATTAATAATTTACTACCTCCGTGAACCCGGGCTCAGTTGACGGTCGCCCCATGGAGTGCATGTTTTGTCCCAGAACACGTTACACATACATATGTATATTTGATAAAGTTGAAGTTCGTTATTGAAAAAATGATGTGAATCACGATAAAGGGAACATAAATGCTGTGGCACAGGGAATTAAGGGGGTAGACTCCGATGGCAGCGCGATAAGGCAGACTGTCAATGTTACCCACAAAATTAGTCGAAAAAATGGGTTTAGGGGAATAGACTTTTCGTCCTTGTATGAGAATAAAATTCGGCACGAACTTTCCGGACGACCCAGTATTTTGTTTTAAGGAAAAATACTGTTTCGCGTTTATTACGTAGTCATTACTCATCAATTACTACTAATTTCTGAACAGCGTCAATGATGTACTGTAATTGTGTAGGCATGTACTGAGACGCCGAACATTACAGTAGCATTGTTTTCTAATTACAATCGACAACGATCAACGTATTAAGAAAATTTCATAGGAAACATCAGCGAAGCATTAAGGAACGAGCACAATGACATTAGCATATTTGTGAATCTCCTGGCGCTTGATTCCAGAGTAATTTCCTGCTCGTCATCTAACGCGGTGACGCGGCTGATTCAGCCGCAGCTACCGTACGCACAAAAACGGATTCATCTAAGAAAGTCAAGCGAGCGGACGTCCCTCAAGACTATAGCAATTTCATCAACGGTCGTTTCTTAATTTGTCACTTCTTAGTCGACTGACGATTGAAGAAAAGTGTATGTAAATTACGGTTCATTACTCTTGAAAATTGCAAATTCTTATTCTATAAGGGGAATATCTTTTGGAATCGATTTCAGCGACGATCTCCGCGTTGATAGCTAGTGCACAGGTTGTTTCGCTTCTCGCGGTTCTGTCCCGCGATCGACGTGTTATATTATAAACGTGACCGAACGGAACCGGGCAATATTTCCACCGGGGCAGAAATCGGCCGGGCGGCCGATCACGTGCGCCTGATAACAGGTCGAGTTCGACGATGTTTGTTCACATCGACGTGTCTACAATGGAGCGACGCCGCTCCGCGGAACGATTATCGACGCTCGACAATCGAAGGATTTATCGTTCCATTTGCCGGTCGCGGTTTGGCATCGAATTCGCGGGACTCACGATTCGTGAAACGAAACGAAACGAAACGGAGATCCGAGGGGAACTCCTTACACGTCGTTCGACGACACGAAGGAATCGTTGCAGCCGTTGTCGTTGCGCAGCGTGCCGATTCCTCTTCACTTATCGCGTTCGCTTTATTAGGAGATACCTTTCGACAGATACTCCGCCGGCCAGGCCACGTTTTTGCCACATTAAACCAGAACCCGAAGAGGAAACTGGAAAGTTTCTTCCTAACAGAGATCGTCCTCTTACGATCGTCTCGCTGGTTGGACGACGACGTAGCCTGCCGGCTTAGAAATCGTGGAAATATCGCTTGGGACTCACCGTCAGTTCCAGCTGGTTGCTTCCGCGAGACAGGAGCGTCGAGGATCGCGCGAATCATCGATCACAACTGTTCGTCCGCATAATCGGTCGGTTGTTTCGGTCGGATCACGGCAGATGATATCACCTGTTTCGTACGACACACGAAACTTCTTCCAGGATCGGCTCCGCGCACACTGAACCCGAGATCACGCACGCTCACGGATTATTACCTTTCGAACCGGTCGGATCGTTTGCACTGTGCGAGCACCAGTTTAGAACTAATTGAGCAATCATCCAAACCCACTGTGTGTACTGGTAAGCCGGTCTCCGAGGACGTGACACTAGAAACAATCACGATTCCAAGTACGAGAATCCGTTGTTTGTCAACGAGACACAGCACTGACCACGGAACGCAACAATGGACACCGGTTGTTCACTTTGACTCACATGCCGATGACAACCGGACCGCGGACGGTTCAATCCGTTCGGAGTAGATGTGCTTCGTAGAAAAAAAGGACCGATTAGAAACGCCGGCCTCGGGAAACAAAAGCAAAGGGAACGGGGGACCGGGAACAGCGTTCAAAGAACCAACGGAGAAGAAGAATGGGAGGAAAAAACAGATAAAAAGAAAGGGTGACACTGGTGGTTCGGCCGGCGATACGAAATGCCAGGCGTGGTCGAACACGAGACGTCACTTAGCACCGAAAATTCCGCCTAGACTCTCACTGACTAACTGATTTCCGTTTCGATCGGCGATTTCTTCTCGTAGCCGCCTGGATCTCATCGGATCCGGCACCGATCCGCCACTTGGAAAAGGCACGAAATAACGAGGACGATGGTAGCGGCGACAGACGCGCGTGCAAGGGAACTGACGTTCCAGAACAATTAACCCCAAAGTCTAATCGATTTAATTAGGCGTCAAGCATAGCCTCTTTCCGATCAATCCTGCCCATCTCGTCCGTCGAGTCCGGAGACCTCCTTCTCTTCCTCCCGTCATCGGGTCCCCTCGATTCTAATCGACCAGTCGACGTCTTCTTTCTCTGTGTCCGGGACGGAGAAATCGAGCGGCAACGGGGACGAAAGCCACCAGGAAACGAATCGATTGAACCTTTCTTTGTGAATTTAGACTGCTCGGGCCCTTACTCCTTTCCTCAGATAATTCAATGTTCTTACACGATCCCTAACGATGCTCAAATTATAATTTACGGACGACTGGTTACAGGGTTCAACATCCAACTGTACTTTACTCACTTTCTTCCTACTAACTGAATAGTTGTCATACACAATTTTAAATCACGTTCGATCGATCTTTGCTCCTGATCGATTAAAGTGTAGCAACGTGAAAACTGTAAAACGGATACGAAACGAGAAAACGCACTGGCGAATGATTGAAACGGGGCGGCAAAAAGTAGAGTACAATTTGCGGCGGGTGCAGTAGCAATTTCCCACGTGTTCAGACGGGCGGGCCGCCCCGTGCGCTTGCTGTCAGAGGGCGCAGCGACGCGACGACGGTGCGCTGCGTCCCGTCATCCTTTGACCCGAGATCGCTTTGGAGTAGCTCGTCTGTCGCGCGCGAAATGCACCGGCTAGCTGTCGCGGCGCGTGCACTCTCAGGTATCACCGGATTCGCTGCCAGCGAGAGACCCGTCGACGATTTTTTCGGGGGCGGTCCGACGTTATTTCGGCGCGGCACACGGTCGAAGCACGATATGTCCGCGAGACACGGTGGGGACCGGCGCGAATGGGCCTCGAACGATGACAATGATAATGATATAACAATAGCGTGCGTTCTCCACTGGTTCAGATCTTACACTGAAGACCAAGGTACACATACACATGTGTGTCGGCCGGGCCGGCAGGTAGAAGAAGGAGGCAGAGGTAGGAGGAGGTGAAGTGTGGCTCCAGAGGGAGGGGAGCCTGCGCGCTCTTGTACACCGGTCCCACACAATCGCCTGCCCCGGCTTCATACATAGGTCCCGAAGCTTACTCTCTCTCGTGCGGAATCAGCGGAGCTCTCTTGCGCGCGGCGTGACTAACATGCTTTCCCTGTACGTATACGCTTGGACGGGACCGTAGGAACGATGTGTGCGTTTTTCGTTCCATACGTACATACGTATCGACGCTAGTAAGTCGTGTGTACGTACGCGCGTCGCGAATGGACCAGAGTGGAACGTCTCCTGCGTTCGTGCAAGTATCTATCTTATTTCAGCTACCTGCTCCGGCATCGGTGTGCGTACCTGCGTTCGTGCGTATGTACCTGCTTGTAGTACGGGCACGCGTGAGCGATGGAAAGAGAGAGACGCGCTCGCAGGTGTAGTATGTGTGGCTACACGCAAGGAGACAACGCCATACCGCTCCACGCACACAGACGTATTACAGCATCGGGCCCGGAGCTCGCCTCGTCCCACCACGGCACCTCGCCTCACTTACATACGATACGATACGAGCGAGCCACAAGGCAGGCAGGTAGCGCACAAAACTAAAGAGACTCGGAGAACCCGTGGCGAGATAGTGACGGAGTAAGAGGGAGAGAAAGAGGTCCGAGAGACGCAGGTTGAACGGCGCGGAGGGAGGATGGAAAAAGGAGAGAGCGTCGGAGACAAGGTACGTATAATCGACAGGATGGAGTGAGAAGGGTGAGCAGAGAGAAAAGAGGGAGCCAAGACTAACCACTGGCGAGGTAAGAGAAGAGAGTGACCACAGTGGGAAGAGACGGAAGGAGAAGAAAACGGCCTGTGGGCCCGAGTTAGGTGGAGGGGTGCGTGTGCTCCGTTGCTGGTGCTGCTGATGCTGCTGTTGCTGTTTAAAGCCGTGAGTACGCACGCTTTAAGGCACTCGTGCGAGTACTATCTCCCTTCTCTCTCCGGCCATCGCCTGACCAATCTTCTAGAACTTCTGTTTTGGGGATGAAAGTGGGGTAACCGCGGACTCGGGACGTATCAGTAACCTCTGTTCATTGATCGAGCTCATTTGAGGTCAATTACGCGAGGACTTGCGAAACGACTTTGAACCGATTCCATTTGCTTTCCTTTATGTCTCAACAGGAAAATCATTTTTTATCATTACATATGTAATGATCTCGGACAATGTAGAAACTGTTATATTGTATGATAATTTCCTCAATACACGAACCAGCTTATAAATGCAATATGCTAAATAAATTTCGCCAATACCGTGTATGGCCCGATTAATAAAAAAATCCGTCAATTCCCAAAGACTTGCGTCTTTTATCGTGGACAGGGATCGATAAAAACGGACAAACCGTGTGTAAGAAGGATTAAGACGCGCGGAGTGGACGATCGAAGCACCGGAGTCGGCTGTCTCGTTTCCATCGACCGAATTACCTGTCATCTCTTCTTATCTCAGACAATCCGTTCATCCGTTTCTCCGGCTCTTGTTCCTCGTCTCGAGAGAGAAGACGTGCTGCTCTCGTTTCATTCTTCGTTCGTTTTGCTCCTCTTTCGCCGCCGCGCCGATCGCTGTATGCACCAGGGAGAATCGTGAAATTAATTGAATCGATACACCGTACAACGTGGGCAAAAATAAACGTTCCTCATTATAATCTTGGTAACTCGAATATTCTGATGTTCGAGTCTATACTTAACATATTTATCGGAGTTAAAAAACTTTCTGATTCTAGGACGTAATTAAAATATCTAATTATATTAGAAATTAGATTGTATTGAACGTGGTTCACGCAAAACAACGACGAGTGCGAACAATAGCAGTGGCACCGTTACATAAATCGAATTACTCAACAGACCGAGTCATTACACAAGTGTACTTGCGTGCGTCGATGGTACCAAAGTGATTTGTTTGCGCGCAATTTAGAACATCTGTGTGTACGACCTTCATCGGCCGATGCGTAGACATACTCGTGATAATAGCTCTGTCAAATCTCCGTTGCAGAACTTGGACAGACCATTAGTTTTTCCTTCAACCATTTAAACCATGCTGGGAAGCTTTTTTTATAACAAAAAACCTAGAATAGATGTTTAGGTGACTTCTTTTAACTGAGACACCCTGTGTAAATAACTATCTCTGGTATTATGTTTGGCTGTACATAAGGAGACGTCTCTTGAAAAAAATAAAGAAATCAGGCCAACAGGCCAGGGAGGGTGTTTGATTTATCGTTCAGTTGCGGTCTGCGCGGATCGAGGTGGCGCGATCGCGCTAGCGGCCGTTGCGCCACGTCGCGTTCCAATTTTGACTTCCAGTGCATAATGAATCGGTATACAAATCTTCGACTAAGGATCATAACTCATTCGTGCGATATCGTGTTCTCACGCGTGGTCAATCGGACGTACCGTAGAGATCGTGGTGACGCGTCTCGCCCCAAACACGTGCGTCAGGGACACCAAATACCAAATCGCGGCAATTAAAACTGCCTATGCTTTTGCGTGTACTTGTTGCGTTCAAACGATGCTTGCATACGAAAAGAAATATGATTTCGCAAAATTATTTAATTATTTGTACGACTTTTATGAATAAAAGATGTAGTTCTCTGTTGCATCTCTCACAATCGTCTTAATTATTCTCCTGTGTATCATAACAAATATTGAAGACCTCAGGATGATATTCCCTTCGTCAAGTTTGCTCACTGTGTTACTTTTGTCTCAATCTGTACGCTCGCTACAAAGAAACGGAACAGCGTGGACAGGCGAAAAAAAAAGCGATCAACTCGAAGTGACATGAAATATGTGATCGCGTCCACGTAAAAAAGTATCGGCCCACCATCGTCCCTGTTAAGTGTCCGCGAAACCCACTCGCGACCGGGTTTCCTCTAGCTGTGTTTCGTAGTCTTTTGCGTCGCGAGCCGAGGAGATTTGAGCTCGTCCGGGGGAACCCGGCGTGATTAATGATCGCCGGATCGAGAATCCGTGAAACGAGAACCGAGAGCACCACGCGAAGATCCCTCACCACCTGTGCCTGCGATCGTCCGAGCCTCGACGAACAAAACGGAGAACACGACTCTTACCAATCCTTTAACCGGTCACTGAAGGAAACTGCCTTTTTCGCGGAACGATGGTTATACGTTCAACGTTTTATGATTCCGAAGCACTTTTTACGTCAACACCTACCCGGTTGATCCAATAATCGGGCAGGGACGCGAGGAGGCTTGAGGAGTGGAAGAAGAAGGCCAGGGACCGCGAAACCGGATAACGAATCCAGCAACACTCGCGTGTTAACGCGTACGCGCGCGTGAATCGCGGCACGATTATTAAAGCATTCGGGGGCGAATTTATCACGTGCTCGGTGGACATTAACTAGGCAAAGTGTCAAGGGCGACTGAGCTTGTTACGGCGCGGATGCTTCACTTTATCAGTGGACGAACATTGACGGGAAACCGTGAGAAAGAGAGATGGATAGGCAGATAGAAAGCGGCGCCTGGAGAGATGTTGACATAGAGGTTGGTCAGAAGTGAGGGAGAAAGACGGCGTAAGAGAGGGTGGGATCAGGGTGAGAGGGCGGAAGGGTTCGTTCGAAAAGCAGGGTACCCGTGTCCATTGACCGTAGGCACGCCAGTGTCGACCGCATCGATAATTCGATAAAGTGTCCTCACATTACCCTATTGATTGCTCCATTGTCCCGCGACGCTTTTCGCCGATGGGCCTCGTCGAAGCTTTCAACCCCGAAGGTTCAACGCTTTGCTTCCTCTTCCTAAGTCTCACCGCGGCGCGACGAACTCGTTTGTGTACACGATTATAACGATATTTCCATACGTACAGGGTTAGCTCTCTATCGATCGACCCGGCCATAGTCTTCGTTAATGACAGAACTGAGGACGCAAACGCTATTGAATTTTGGTTCCGTTTTCGTCTTGGCTACCGTATCAAGAACGGATCCGAAACTGTTCAAATCAAATGTTTCGAATCTCCACTTTAGAGTTATGCCGACTGTATTGTAGATCTGTGCCCAGAATTCTCGAGGAATAAGCGTGGAAATTGTACATTATTAAGGAATGGCTCTTATTTATAGATGCGTAACTAGTAGGTGTAATAAATTTCGACCGAATTCTTGTTCTCACCGAAATTTTGTGTTATATTTATCGGGGCTGGAAGTTGAAAGTACCGAAATATTTCTGTCAGTAACTATTCGAGAAAGAATCCGCTGATATTTATTAGAAGCTACTACGCAGAAATTCTCAGTATTTATCTATCGGCTCTCGTGGAACTTTAGTGCCACGCGAACCAACAGGCCGGATCTCCCGTGGAATCGACGATCGATTATACACGAGGAGGGTCTGGGAAGAGAGCTCGACGAGAGGGGCCCAGGCGAACAACACATGGAGGAGAGATCCGGAGCCTCTGCTGCATGCCTGAATCCTAATTGAATCGTCAGGATGCTCGACTACCGGCCCTTCTCTGGCCCGCTGACATCAAGAATGTGACAGACAGTCGGGCATCGTGCCCTTTTCACGGTCCCTCTGCGTCAAACCTCCGGCGAGCCGCCGTACGATTCCGATGTATTGCCCGTCGTTCCGTCCAGCTCATTTACGCATAATTTGCTATGCCATGATTTGGGTTTACGACGCGCGAACTTTTACACCACACCGGCAAAAGTAAAACGCCACCGATCCTTCCTCTTCCGCTGATTTACCTTCACTAGATTTTTTTACATGAGCAAATTCGAATGATTGAAAGGTGACGTGTAACTTTTTATAATTTAATCTTCGAATACGATTAATGCAATGTGTGTTACTTAATTGTGGATTTAAATAATTAGATGTAATTAATGTGCAAGTGTTTAATTTTAAAGGAAGCACAATGTTTGCATAAGCTT